GTACTACTGCATGAGAAAAATGAATTGCAGATGCTGTAAGCAACAGATGCGATGATAGAAAGCCTGATATAAAATGAAGTGGGAAGACAAGAGGGATGGAAAGTGACAAGAAAAATCAAAAATATGTGAAAATTAACATAAAAAGTGCAGCAGAGGTAAATGTCTATGTAAATTCGACAAATTACTCAGAGGAGAACCATTAAAAGGTCTTGCCCAGCTAGTCGAGTGGAATGCCGTCAGCACTAGACAACTGAAGATGCACAGGCGAACCTGATAATTATGCCATTTAGAGTTACCAACTGAGTATAGCTAGATTAATAATAGAAATTTATTTTTATCCGCTTCAGCATAAGCAAATAAATACTGTTATATTATTGACTGCTCGAAAAAATGGTGTATGGAATAGAAAATTCACTAATAAAAGGTTCCATGGTCGGACGCTTGGAAATATGATAACTACTATAGCAGAAGACTTCGGACAAGGTGCGTCCAACTAAGTCGACTTGACAACACGACCACGTTGCGAGAACAAGGTCAGACCACAGCTAGAAAATAGAAAATTCACTCATAAAATGGTCTTAACAAATTGCTCACTTAAGCCAAGCCATTTGCATAAGCGTAATGCAGCCATTCGAGAATGTGAATCTAGCAAAATCAATTAAACGATATATAAGTAGGTAGATGAAGTACACGTATATTTTCATGCAGGAGCATGCATGTTTGCTTACCTGATTAGGAATAATGGAGACCTTGATGGACCAGGGTTAGAGGTATTAGAGGCCTGGCAGAACTTTCGTTGTCGCAGCGGTCGATGACACCCTTCCATCACCCTGAACGAGGGAGGCAGGTCAGCGAAATAAACACACGAATTTTGTCTGTAAATGTCCTTATTGGTCTGATATATTTGGGGGGATGACAAAACAGAATTCCATGGGCTTGTATCAAAGACATCACTATCCTCTGGTGTTTCATCATATTCATTATCATCATTATCATTTTCTTTAACATATTCTGAAGAATCTCCATTATTAATCGTGACAGAATCATACACATCGTCATGGCAAGTATTTCCAGTATAATATTGTTGGTTAGCGGAAAGCCCACTTGGTACGGACGGTCTGTATAACGTTAGGCCGGTAGCAGAGCTAGAGTCTAATAAGCGACAGTTTTGGTCCCCGGCATGAGCAAGCAATACCAAGCGACCATTAGTCAGGTGCCAGGAAAATAAATCTGTTGGGAAAATAATCCAAACCAGATCGGATCGACTAGATAAAGAGACATTATGAGAGGGCCTTGCAGTTCGGAGATGGGTCGGTTGGTTCAAGGCGGGTTCAGCAAAGTTGAAAAGGCTTGGGACACTAGAAAAACAAAAAATCCTTTAATAAGAGGTGAGAAAAAGTTAAAAGACTATTTAATATGGATTTGTTTAATGGTTCAAATTTTCTAACACTCATTTTATTCATTTTGCTTGATAAATGTTTTGTCACAAGGGCAAAAGATCGGTTATATCCTAACTAGATAGTAAATGCCGCAAAATTAAGTCATAAATATAAATAAATATATATAAGTAATGAGGTTATATATAGCCCTTTATTGATTCAAAAATAATAACGGCGGTAGAAAAAGTTGGTTAGGCAATAATCGCATAAATGAAATTTACCTGAAGAAGTGCACAAAAATCATTATACAAGCTTAAAGAGAAAGAAAACAATATGTGTTCATTAGTGTGAAGAAGTATTATATTAAGATTTCCGAACGTCTAAGCATTCAAACGCAATAGGCTTAAAAAAACCCACCACATGTTAGCCAGCTAAAGCGTAAGTAAACATTGTTGAATTGCAGTAAAGGTTTCGAAATGTAAACCATATTTTTTGAAAAATAATTTCGTGACTAAATAATTTCAAGAAGTCATTGCGCAAAAATTTTTGACAAAGAGAAGATAAATCAACTGTGGGTGAGGATAGCATTATGAAGTTATCACAATAATGATTGAACGATAGATCAGCTCAACTTAAAATAAAGCTCAGAGAAACCCTAATGATGTGTGTAAGCAGCGAGGAAAAGTAGAAATCAAAAATGAATTTAGTTCTAAAGAGTACTTTCTAATGATAAATAATATGGCGTGTTTCACGATTTTTATGTGGGCAATTGAGGAATTGGCCAAATATTAACTATTATCTGATAAAAACTCATTAATTTTTCAAAAGGAGAGATATAAAATAAGTAGAGGAAGACTCATTGATTATTACTGGGGCAGTATTAATGTAAACCAACATTCCGCCCAAGCAGGCTACTCAAGCTCTATAAATCGTCCTGGAAGAGCACTAGAAGTTTATCGAAAAGGTAGGTCAAGGTAAAGCCTAAATTTATTACACCTTCAATGATATTTTCGTATGAAAAGACGCAAGGACTTGCAATGGGATCTAATTAAACTTTGATTTCAAGAAATAATTATAAGGTAAAATTCGAGAAGCGCTTAACTTTACGAGTTTTAGTGTTGACGAAAAGTTTGAGAATGTACCACATCAATGTTCCGATGCTAGAAATCACGAATATTATGGCAGAGGACACAGGACTAGATATGTATAACAAGGTATCCATGATGGTTCAAGCAAGTTGCGAAAACAATGTCGAACCAACACTGTAAGGCTAAAGGGGACTGAGACCAAACACAGGGCAACACGATCTTGGTCTTTGAATCTAGGAAAAAAATATTCCTGATACATCATATACATCCCCGAAGTCTGGCTGGCTTAGGCAATTATCAAAAAATAATGCGGAGAATAAAGCATGGCGAATTATTCCTGATTAGGAAATTAAATCTCTTCTAGGCTGAAGTGTAAAATCACTCGTAAATAGTAATCTATTTTTTCATTCAAAATGCGAAAAGATGGGAAAATAGAAAATGCTCGCAAAGATAGCATCATCAAATGATATAAAAGCCGACTTAGCAGCTGTACCGATAATCCACAAAGCCCCAAATCTGTAAAATTTAGAAAAAATAAATCGCAGGCCTTACTTGACTCCATTAAATGGAAGATGGTTTGGACAGCCTGGTATTAAGCAGGTGTAGAAGTCGCGAAGCGCACCTTGGCATGATTCTGTGAGCGAGTCGATTGTACGAACGTTCTCCAGGATGCACTTATCCGGATGCGCTAAAGAATAGAAGACAGTCATGGGGAAGGATTATTATCAGAGTTAAGGGATGAGAAATTGGTTCGATCATTAAAAATAAAAATATAGAAGTGGCTTGATCTCGTTTTCGCAACGTGGTCTTGTTGTCAAGGTGACTTAGTTGAATGCATCTTATCCAAGTCCTCTGTCATAGTAATTATCATAATTCCCAACATCAGGCCGTGGACTTGGTACGTTCTCAGACGTTTCGCCGACATCTTAGTCGGCACCATCAGTAAGTCTCGCCATTCGCCGCACCAAGTTGCAACTCGTCAAAGAGACAAGTGAAGTCAATCCCTCGATCAGCACTCTGCCGAAACGGTTACACTATCACTCCTCTTTCTACTTATCCTCTTATCCCACTCCCGCCCTATCACACCTGTTGACTTGTTTACATTTCAATCGTCAAAAAATGCGCCCTTTATATCAAGTTTACAGTCGCTACATCAGGCCTGCTTTTCAACTTGACTCCTCTTTCGAACGGCTAATCCGACTCCGACCTTCTATCTGGATCTCACTCATGGTCCCGTAGATCCGTTTCTTATCTTTATGGTTGACCGATTTCACTCGGATCTAGTTCCAGTGTACGTTTTACTTCAGGCGCTATTCTTCACGCCCTTATAAGCACGGACACCGCCACCTCACCGAGCAAAGTGCCTAGGCTGTGATTCACATGCGTGCAGATATTAAAATTGCCTTTATGGGTCGTCTCCTTACTTAAACCCGCGTTACTTGAGCAAATTGTGGACGCCTATCTCTGGTCGCCTGCGTCATCTCAAGTGGATGGCTAGTACATTTGTATCCATAATGCCGAATTTCTGTGACGGTTGTGCTTATCCGTCGCCCTGGTTCCGTGAATGCCAGGCCCCAAAGTTGCACTAGTTTCTTGATTTCCGAAATCCCCCCCTTCCTCCTCATGATCCCTTTGCCTCTAGGGCCTTGATCCAGGCATCTACTTTTCTCAGTTCTTGCTGCATCATTGTTTTCCCCGAGTTTGCCTAAGCAATAGGCAAAGTTATCGTTAACTCTGCCTACTTCCAATCTCCTGGTCATTAGATTTTTTCCCCCAAGGATGTTATAGACCCCATAATCTTGCGTTTCCTTGTGTTTTGATCGTTTGAAGCCATTCTTTCAGTCGTCTTCCAATTAATCTCGTATCCAGTCTGTGTGATGTGCTCCGCTAATTTTGATCTTTCAGTATCCATTTTCCTACAGAGCTTTTGATGTTCCTTGATTCGTATGCTGATTTTTCTCTCTGTTTCGCCAATATATTTCTGTTTGCAGGCATAGCATACTATGCAGCAAACTCCCGAATAACCCTATTTGTCCACCCTCTCATGTTGCCTGGGTAAACTTGTGAAGTGTTGTTTTTACTTTCATTGCCCCCAGAATATTTCATTTACTTAAAATTGGGAGTAGTTTTTGAGCTAGTTCGCATGAAGATAGACATATCCACCTTGATGAACCCTTCTCCGCCCTTACTGTTCTTTCGTAGTTCCCGTTCTGACACCAGCTGTTCACGGCCCGTATGTTTATTTGTATTACTTCGCACGGGTAGCCATTGCCGAGGAATATCCTAGTCAATTTGTCCAATTCTTCATCCCATAATTCCACATCGGTTAGGCGGAGGCTTCGGATGATCATGCTCTTCATTATTCCTATCTTTAGTTTGTAGTTGTGATAGGATTGGAAATTGAGTATTATCCCAGGACATGACTCCTTTCTGAACAATTTCTTCTTAAGCGTTCACTTAGAGAGAATCAATTCAACATCTAGGAAAGGAGACTGCTCATCTTACTCCACCAAGATGTGGTGGCTTCTGGTATGGTCGCAGTCTCCTTTCGATTTATAGAAGTGGGTTAACCTCGTAGTCGCAACTTGGTCTTGTTGTCAAAGGGACACAGTAGAATGCACCTAGTCCGAAGTCGTCTGCCATAGTAGTCATGATTCCCAGCATCAGACAGTGGACTTGGTACATTTTCAAACGTTTCACAGGCATCATAGTCGACATCATCAGTGAGTTTTGCCATTCTACGCACCAAGCTACGAACTCGTCAAGGAGACAAGTGAAGTCAATCCCTCAACAAACGTTCTGCCGAAAACGGTTGCACTATCACTCCTCTTTCTGTCCTGGCCTATCTATCTACTCTTTACCCTCTCATCCCAGTGCCGTCCTATCACAACTTCCCACTTGTTTACATTCCACTCATCAAAATGTGTGCCCTTTTGTAGCAAATCTAGTGTGGCCTCATCACACTTGCTATTCATCCAGACCCACCTCTTTCGATCAGCTGATCCGACTCGGGCCTCCAATCCGGATCCCCTCATTTTCTCGCAGATCCCTTCCTTATCTTTCTAGTTGACCGATTTCACTCGATTTCAGTCCCAGTGTGCACTTCATTCCAGGCGCAATTTCTCAAGGCCCTATAAGCACGTACACTGCCGCTTCACTGAGCAGAGCGCCTAAGCTCAGATTCCCATGCTTGCAGATATCAGGCCTTACCTTCACAGGTCCTCTCTTTGATGGGTTTACCCATGTTATCTGAGCAAACTGTGGACGCCTATCTTTGTTCGCATGCTGCATCTCAAGTGGATTTCTAGGATATTTTAGCCATAATGCCGAATTTCCGCAACGGTTTGCTTATTCGCCTGCCCAGCTCCCTGACTGCCAGGCTCCCAAAGTTGTACTGGTTTATTCGAAATGGACTTGACTCACTGACGCCGTCTTCGCTTTATTGCCGAAAACCCCTGCCCTCCACTTTCTTCATCACGATCCCCTTTCCTCCGATAAGCGCTAGGTCCTTGATCAAGGCGTCTCCTATTTGCTGGTCCTGCTCTATTCCTGTTTTCCCAGAGTTTGATAAGGGAGTAGGCAAAATTATCGCTAACTCTACCTTCCTCAAATATCCTGTTCATTAGATGTTTCTCTCCAAGGATGTTAATGGCCTCCCTTATCTTCCGCTTCCTTGTGTTGTCC